CCCCAAAACCCCAAAACCCCATGATGCTTTATAAGTATACTTAAATTAAGGTAGAGAAATCTGATATTGAAATTATAAATATCGTAACTTTTCATATTATTTTGTTCTAAATTACTTTCAATAAGCAAATGACTCATAAATTAATAATATTAGTTAGTGGTGAGAATATGTATATTCTCAACTGTCAAGCACAATCTATTTGACTATGCTTTATCAAGACTCATCATATTAATGGACTGCAGTTGTAGCTGCAACAAATAATGATTATATCAGATTCACATATCTGTGGGTTTGAATTATGCTCTCGAAATTAGTTTGAGATTATAGTTTAAACTCTTGTTTTAAGTCGGTAATAATTTAGAGTTTATCAAATTGCTATTATAAATAATCTCTAACTCCAGCAATTTTATCTAAATTCTTTTTCATAATGTACTCTATTTTCTACTATAATTTCTACTTGTACTCCTAGCTTGAATATTAAGCAATTGCAAGGGGCAAGTATTTATCGGTTATGCAAAGTGGAACCTATAAATTATTTTTGGTATCAATGATAAGTAGCTAAATTATAATAACTTCCGTAATCACTTGTAATCTATTAATTATTTTATTTTTATTACGATTGTAAGCATTATTATTTTCACAAAAGCTTTTTCTTATTATTTATTGTGTCTACCCTAATATTTATGGAATCTCTATGGTAAATCCTAGCTCTTAAAGAATCATCAATTCTACCTTTACTACATCTTCTTTTTTAATGTCTACCATATTTGTTTGCAAATATTGAAAATGTTAAAATTAGATTTACTGAACATCCCAGTACTTCGAAGATATACAAATACAAGCGAATCCACTAATCTCAATTAAATTGGGAATTTGTTTTAATTATTATTAAAAGCATTCAGTTGCTTAAAATTTCTTGAGTAAATTTAAGGCAGTCATGATTGTCTAGAAATGTATGTTTTCAAATAATCCAAACAAGCAGACCATTTAATCAACTATATCTTCAATACAGCATTAATTCTTGGGGAATTTCAAATTTTCTATCTTGAGGTCATTTTACTTTTAATAGCTCCATTCACTTTTTTAATTTGACTTTGGACCCGACTTAAGGTCACGATTTAAGGATTTCGAGTCACAGCTATTAAAAATAGGATTATTTTTTAATTGTTTCCTCCTTATACTTTGAACTTAAATCATGGGATCTAACTCGATTTACATATTCTACTCCATTTGCTTGATTTTATTTTCAAGTTCTTGATTCTATGAGGTGTACAAATACTTGCACTATTTGAGCTCTTAATTTTTTTATTATTCTCCTTACTCAGAAACCTAATTTTTATCTTAAATCAAGTTGAATCTTAAATTTGACGACTCTTTTTATTAAAATGTGACTGTGCTTATTTGATTTTAAGAAAGTTGTATTTTCTTTGTTAACTGCTGCTAATTATCTATGTTGGTTTTATCAATAATGCTCTGCTTGGTACGAGCATTGAAGGCATATTCCTAGTCAAAGTATTACAAATCTTCTGATAAATCCTCATTTATTTCCTCTGTATTTAGATATTCGCAATATTCAGTGGTTTGATAGCTCTTACTAAATTATTTCTTAATCTCTTCAGGCTTGGCCTATTGACAATTTTTAAGTTCCAAGTCATCAAACCGAAATCGATTCATTTATTGGAATTTATTATTTCTCGCTGAATATGATCAGCTTTTAATATTTACTCGAGCTATTTTTGTTGTATAATTACTACTATATTACTCAAATTCTAATCACACGGGGTTTTGGGGTTTTGGGG